ACACACACACACACACTCACACACACACACACACACACACAATTATATATTATGTACTCATTTAAACAAAATAGTTGAATACTCACATTCACACAAGTTACCATGTTATCGTGTCAGCCCGAGGTAGATCAAGTAATTTAAGACCTTTCTGCCCTGAGTCTGATAGAGTTTATGTGGGACCGTCTTAAAATAGCTGTGTGCTTTTGTGGGTTAGTTAGACCACGGGTCACCGCGCTTGCCCAGATTACATCATACCTGGGAAGTCGTAACGGCCGCTTGTGGTCACGGGGCGAGGGGACATACTGTGGCTTGGCAGTGGTCAGTCGGCCCAGGCGCATAACTGGCTGGCGAATATTACTGGGGACTCGTGTGGGACAGGACGACAACATTTGACGTGTTCCACTGCCACGGGCGATCAAGTATAATATCTAGATCTGTGGGGCGAGATTTACACTGTGATTGGTCGGGCCTACGAGGCTCTCGATAACGAACAAAGCCATGTGTGAAAGTGAAAGTGTTTGTGTGTACAGAGTAAGTATTGATTTCTTTGCTCTAAATCGTATCACCTTTCACCTCATTAATGAAGTTTTTTTGGTGCTCGTTAATGTTAGCGGCTCTGTAGTATAGACAATTTGGACTTTCTCTGGGCACGATTTCTAATTTTCACTAATGTGCTGCTCCCAAGTGAACACTAAGTAGGTAACCTTTGTTACTTTTTGTTTGTAATGAAGGAAATCACAGATCTGAGGCTTTGTATTTTAAATTTCGGGTTAGCATTTTTGTGTTGATGGAGTTCGAGGAGATGCTAGTCCAGTGCGCTGATGGAAAAAACCCAGAACATTTTGTCCATATTGGATGTCTTCGGCCTGATGTGTGTTCAAATTTGTTTCTTTGAAGCTTTTTTAAAAATAGGGAGATAGGATGGGTAGCCTATCGCGTTTTGTCCCATTTTGTAGGCAGCCTTTGTGGCTCTATTTGTTTTGAAAACCATTGCTTTAAAATGTATTGGAAGAGAGTTAATGGTTGAAGAACGCCGTTTGTTTAGAACGTTTTCCCACCCACTCTTCCTTTGACCAGCAGGCGTCCAGCCTTTTTTCTCCTCCACAGTTTCTCATAATATTATATTAGAAGCGAATGGGCCCACATAATATGGCTTACTCTCTAGGCTAGAGCTGTCCTGTTTTTGTCATGGTTTATCTCTCATAATGTTTCTTGTCTTTCTTGAAGCAGTGTGTTCATCATGCTCAGAGATGAGTATTTATATCCACTGTCTTCCGGTGTACACACACTTAAAACTATATCCAGCTGTGCTACAGTCCGAATTGTTCGAGTTGGCTTATAGACCCCTATAACATTGTCAAAGAATTATTCGCTTTGGCCTGACCTTTATATTTTGTCTAGTCTAATGTCATCAGCAGTTTGGCAAACTGTCATTCCAACGTCGTGTGGAGCATTGGCAACACCATCGAGTGTCATCGTCATATAGTGCTACCTTCTCTTGAGCGCGGAGTCTCAGGCATCTGGATCTAGTATCAAATGCCGAGTGGGCTGTGTGATCAAGCTGATGCTTTGTTTGTTTAAGTAAGGTTTTACGGCGCTCGCAACTGCATAAGGTCATACTAATGGTCATATGAGCGCCAAGAGGTGGATATCAGCGGAGAAGTTCAAACGGGGAATCGGGCTTGCTCTGCTTATCTCTCTAGCCTCAACAGCACAAAGTCTGCTTCGACTATCAAGGCTCCCCGAAATAAATAACAGTTTACAAAAGAGTGACAAACAAACAAAAGAGGTAAAGGAAAAACATGACGATAGTAAGGGTGAGGAAAGAAAAAGCAACAGTTCCCCCCTTTTTTGCTCCGGCACAGTATGAGCATGACATTGATAAATCAGCCCATTTACATTTCTACTGTGCATGAGAACATGTTAATATCCCCTTTTGGGAATGGCCTAAAGACACTTCAGTCAATAGAACTGTCC